ACCTCTGGTGGTCTTTTGGGATTTTTCAGCCAGGTTCCATGGCAACTTGGGATTGAAGGTAGTTTCAAACGGGCCAAGGATTGGGCTATCTAATTTTGCGTTAATTTTGCGTTGGGAGCAACGTGGTTCACCCCTTGGAAGGGGAACGTTGGTTTAGGCGCCCCAACCTTTGGCTCAGCCCTGCCTGGAGACTCAGATGGAGACATGATAGAAGTTAGGAGTCTGTCGCATGTCTCTGGTATCCATCTGCGATGTCGCTCACATTCTTCCGACTCGGCCAGAGAAAGAAATGAGGAAATTGGGGTTCGAGCTTAGCCTACCGGCCACGGCCTCCGACCGCCTGAAATTGGGGGGGTGGAAGCCGTATGTTTAGACAGGCTAATTATGCAGCATCTTCTAGGGTTTGATTCAGTTTGATGCGCAAGGGGAGGCTGAAATTGGGGGCGGCGAAGCAGTATATTCAGACAGAGTGGGTATCCAACATCTTCCATAGTTTGCTTCAATTTGATGCGTAAGGGGGGGGTCCTTTCTGCTTCCCAAGCGTCTGAGACCTTGAGCAACTCGCCCAGCAAAGCAGGCCCGTGGGAAAATGGGGGCGGCTTCTGTTCCCTTTCGGGGCATCGTTGTGGAAAACTTGGCTTTAGGCTGTGATAACACAGGAATCCCGTATAGTGTGAACCAGCAGTCATGGGGATGGCCCAATTTTATTTTTTTGTATCGCAGGAAGGGGTAGGTATTTCTGACAACATCCCACAACCAAGCAAGTGAAGGGACAAGAAAAGGGGTGCAGCAACTTTACACCTGGCGGTTCTTGGATGTGTTCCAGTATGTCCACAAGATGTACTGGCTCCTTGGTGGGATTTTCTGTTCATGTGTGCGGCCCTTGTATGTTGCTTTTTCTCTGGTCCTAAAGATTAAAGAGGTCGTGCAGGGTTCCATCATGTTGCACTGTCGATTGCCCCAAGTGTAAACCCAGGTTTGCTACAAAGAGGGAAGGGGAACAAACATCGTGAGTTTAGGCTTCTTTTTTAAATGTCCATATTTTCCCCCAAGGTGCCATGTCCAGTCCTTGCATGTGCCGAAGGTCATTGCAATTTGTGCCAGATGGTTTCAGAAGGCAATGCTGATGGCTAGTATGCTGCCTGTCTGTGCTTATTTGTTCTAGTTGACCCGCCACAAGTGGTTCTGTGCCGCGATAACTTTGGGAGCAGGATGTTCAATGCCTCCTGCCGCTAATACGTCCGTTGTTGGTGATTTTCAGCGTCACCTTGACCCATTTAAGGTGGGCTCCCCTTGGAAGCCGCGACAAGGGGAAATACAGGGGAGCCCTGTGCACCGACCCCTAGAGACACTCTTTGAGAGATCCCCCTAGCATGGCCCTAGCAATTGCTTGCTCCCCCAAACTTAAACCTTGCTGAGGCCTTAAGATCTTACTCAGGGCAGAGGGAGGCTTGAGTTTCCATGCAAACTGCGCCCAGATCTGCGTGGCAATGCGGCGGGTTCTCCCGTCTTTTCCTCTTCAATTGGGCGTAGTGGGTTTCCATTTAACCCACTAAAGGGTCCTGCACTTTTAGCAGGGGATAAGTTTGGACAGCCCAGTAAAATGAGGTTCCATTCTGCTGAGGACCCAAGAATCGGGGTTCCACGCTTCCACGCTGAACACGGGAAAGTTGATCAGATTGACAGACTGGTTTATGGGGTCTACTGAGTGTCAGCGGTCCGCGGTTGCCTGGCAAGCACCCCTATCAATAGCACAGGAGGTTCATTTAGCAGATTCATGATACATTCATTGAGGTTGCATAGTTCCACGCCACCAGTTGAGCGCACCCTGTCGTCTGACTGTAGGCACTGCGGATTGTCAGTTTGTTGCTCGACAACATTCTCACCAGCGCGCCAGCCTTCTCAACTGCTGGCCTGAGTGGTCGGTGCTTGGCAGTGAGGTATTCAATTTGCTTTTTCCTATGACGTCGACTTTGGATGAGTAACCCTGGCGGATTATTTGATCTGAGGTGCCCCCCCCCCACAAAAACAAAAAGAGAAGAAGAAGGCATTTCACAGTTCCGGTGCCATGCGTTGTGCCCAGCAGCCGGGCTCAAGAGGTTTCACTTGGCTTTCTGCTGGCCACGTTTGATGCTCTGATTGGTGGCAAGTGAGTGGAAGTAGCTGGAACAAGAGTAGAAGGTTGAAATTCTTCAAACGAAAAACTAGGTTCAGCCAGTGTGTAGTTCCTTTCCTGGCCCGTCAAGAGGGCTTGAGATGTATAGCTAGGCAGTGAACTCACTCAGATAGGCTCAACAGCTTGGAGCAGGCCAATCCAGATCAGTTTTCTGGGACTAGGCTCAGGCATGGCGGTCCTGGGCTGCGTGCAGATCCCCAGCGATGTAACGCTGGAAGACGAGGGCCCGCCCTTTGCGCGGAAGCTGGGGCTGGACCTGCGGATGGTGAAGGTGGGGGATTTGGATAAGCTCCTTACTGAGCGGGTGCCCGAAAGTGACATCATCAACATGACTCGTACGAATTGAAGGGAAACTACAGGAGACAAGCCAACAATCAGATTGCACGCCTTAAGGGGCCGAGTTGTATGTGAAGCAACCGTAGTGAAGACAGGGAGGCCCGGACATTGTAGCCTTTCTCCCGGAGCCTAAAGAAGGCCTTAGTTGTCCTGAATGTTCTGTTCCCTAGCTCTTTTTGCTGGATCCACTTAAGACGAAATGGTGAGAGTTGGAGAACCCCTCAATCTGCAGCCAGTTCAACGAATCCGGCCGTGCCCTGGCTCCAATGACTCTAACGGCCACTTCTCTTTTTTGTTGGGGTCGGGGGGCGTGGGTGTGGGAGGTTGGGAGACTTTTCTGCCCACAGGGCCCCCAGGGCGCAGCAGCGTGGGGCAGTGAGGTGCACTTCGACTCGGATGACATCTGCGCTTCCACGTACCTGCGGGCCATGGAGCGTGAGGAGCTCACCAAGGCGCGACTGGGGTGACATGCGGCTGGGGCTGGGTTTCGGGGTTTGAGGGTGGGGTGGGGTGGGTTTGGGGTCAGGGGCGGGGTGGGGTTTGGGTGGAGTGGGAAGGTTTGGGGTTGGGGGTTTGGGAAGGTTTGGGCGGGTGGTGAGGGGGGTTGCCGTCGTTGCGCGTGAAGGCCGCACAGCAGCTGCCACAGCAGTGCAGCGTCGTGGGCCTCTCCTGCACGTCGCACCACGGCGATACTATGCTGTACTAGAACAAATGCAACCATATTCATGGGTACACATAACCGGTAGCCACATTTCAACTTCTCGCGGCCACACGGCGCGTACCGTACGCCGGTGGGTTTCTCCAGGTATTCCTTCACTTTGGGATCGGAGAAGGTGCGGGAGCAGTGCCCCGGCAGGGGCTCGGGGCAATCCATGGGCCAGGTGTTTGATGTGGAGTGCCATCAATTCGCATGCACCGCCTGTTGGCAGTAGGGTCAATTTTTGGGATTCCTGAATTCAGGGTGAGTTCTAGTGCAGATGGCTGTGGATCAAATGGTTGGTTTGAGGGAATGCAACTTAAGTCATTCCGAGAAGATCCGGTTTCAGCTGATACGCTCATGGGGATTGAAGTCCGACTTTGATTTCGCCACGAGCTGTTTTTTTTCCATTTTTTTTCTTTTTTTTTTCCGCAGACGTGGGGGGAAGGGGGGAGAAGAGGATTTGGAGTGGAGAAGTCAATTACTACTCTATGGATTTGCCTTTTTTGGGGTACTCTTCAGGTTGGATTTTAAGGGACACCAGAGGGAACATCAATATGTATTTGTGACCAATACCCAATCCCACTTCCATATATAATCGTTGGACAAGTTGTGATCCCTGATGTGTTCTGAGGAGTCCTAATACCCCAAAAGCCGATTCCTGGGTTCCATGAAAGGGGGACGGGATGTACTACAGAGCAACAGTAGGCTCCTCTAAGCATGTGCGAGGCTCAATGCGGGGCTACCGGACGTGCCTGCCACCAACATGGCGGACGCGCAACTGCTGGCGCTGAAGGCGGCGAATGGGCCAATGGGTCGTGGAAGGCGATGCACCCGAGGGCAAACTTGGTTTGAACACGCAGACCGAGAATTTCTGGTTAAATTGAATCCCATAAGAAGCTGTTTAATTAACTGAACAGATTTGAGCAAAGGGTTCGGCTCAATTTGAAGTCCTCCGTACCAAGCAAAAGGTATCTCATGGCCAGTGAGCAAGGAGGTTGACTGACCTTGGGCTTTCCCATGTCGCATTTTTGGCCCCAAAACGTCCCCCGGAATCAACCTGGTGCACGAAGATGGGGTGGTCTTTCCACAAGGCGGGGCGTTTTCCCCCACAAGGCAATCTGCCTTTTAATCAACCAAAGGTTGGTTGCTCCTGGGTTCCTTCTCGGATTGTCTGTTTAAGATGCTCGCAAACATTCTCGAATTCGAGACACTGAGAAAGAAACACCGAATCTGGCTAGACCTCCAAATGTGGCAGCTCCAGTGGAGCATGTCGTGAATTGATCAATGTTTGAAGGCATAGTTCATGGCCTTCTTGTGGGGGTTGATGGTCGTTCCTGGCAGGCAGCTCAGGAGGCCTTCCACGAAAGCTTTGGGTTCTGGTCAAGGTGTGGCTGACCAGCCTTCCCGCGCACATCGGAACCATAGCGATCCGTTTAAAGTTTAAAGGCCATCAAAATTTCCCCTTCCCCATATCCGAGCCATAGCAATCCGTTCAAAGGCCATCGAAATTTCCCTTGCTCTTGGACCCAGATTTTGAAAGCATGGCTTGCGGGTTCCCCTAGCATGGTCGCTCAAGCCCCCAAAAGGCCACCTGATTTGTTTAATTGGTCGCTGGGCAAATGGGCAGAAAGCCGCAAGCAACGGAGGCCCTGAATGTGCGGAAAGTGGCGCTGCTCACGCCCTACATAGAGGCCCATGGGGAGATAGAGGGAGAGAGTGAGCGACTTGTTTGTGTGCGTGCCTTTGTTGTTTGTTTGTTTGTTTGTTTGTTTGTTTGTTTTGTTTGTTTGTTTTGTTTGTTTTGATTGTTTGTTTTGTTTGTTTGTTTGTTTGTTTGTTTTGTTTGTTTGTTTGTTTGTTTGTTTGTTTTGTTTGTTTGCTTGTTTGTTTGTTTGTTTGTTTGTTTGTTTGTTTGTTTTGTTTGTTTGTTTGTTTGTTTGTTTTGTTTGTTTGTTTGTTTGTTTGTTTGTTTGTTTGTTTAGTTCTTTGCTTCGTTTATTTGTGTGTTTCTCCGTTTCTTGTTTTTCTCCAGTTTTTTTTTCCCGGTTTTTCTGTTTGTTTGTTTGTTTGTTTGTCTGTCCGTGTTCGCTTTTTTTCCGGAAGGGAGAGGGGGGAGGACGGTGTTTTCTACGCCTGAGAAAGGCACAGCATGGCACAGCCAGGATGAAGGTCACTCGTGCTGGGCAATTCAGAGAGTCCGCTAGTGAATAACTAGCCCTGGGTCTCCTCCAATCTAAAAGTTTAGGGTAGACTAAGTATGGAGCAGAGTCAGAGCATATGATTTGCCAGGTCCCCCTGTAGTGCCCTTTTACCGTTTCTTTTTTGGGGGAGGGTTCCCCTACTAAAACAGATGGTGCCAATTGAT